AGAGGTCCTAAATTAAATTTAACTATAAAAATATCACAAAATATTACACAAATGATTATAATCGATCTAAAAAGAAAAAAAAAACTTTAAATCAAATTTAACTAACAAATCTTAAAACAAACAAATAAAATATAATCAATTTATCTAATTATTATCAAACATTTAGGACCGACCATTTTTGTTTTTGGTTTTCTGTTTTCAACAAACAAAAGCAATAATTTTTTATAACTGTTTTTGTTTTTTGGTTTTACTAAAAACCAAACATAGGTTTTGTTAATCAGGTTTATTTTCTATTTTTAAAAGTAAGAAAATTGAAAATACATGTTAGAGATAGGAAAATCTTTGTAAAATAGAGATGACAACGGTTTGAGGTAGGAGTTGGGATGCTCTCTTCATCGAAAATCTTTAATTCTCATCTCCAACTCTTTCAATTTCGGGAATCGAGGTCTAGGTTCGGAAATCCTCATTTGGGGACGAGGATTTGCACGAGAAAATTTATTGGTTTCATAATTAATTTTAATTATCTTTAGAATTTAAAAAATAAAAAAGTAATAAAGATATATTTTACTAAAAAGTTATTATTTACGAGTATAAATAATTAGTTTTTAAAAATACTTAATATTTATTCATACTTTAGTAAATCAGTTAATAAAATATATATTAATTATGTAAAAATGGAATCGGAGACAAGACACGGTGGGAAATGCATTATGTTCTTAGAGTGGAGACTCGTTCCTACGAGAATTTTTGTCATCTCTAATTTAGGGACATGACAATAAAAATTTAGAGAGATAAAAAAAACTTCTGAAAGAGAAATTTCAGAGAGAGAATTTAGAGAGTCAGATAAAAGTTAGAAAAAAATTTAGTAAGAAAAAAGTTAAAGTAAAAAATAGAAAATTCAAGAGAAAGTAAAGTTGAAAACAAAAGAAATGTTAAAGAAAGGGAAAAAAATTAGAAAGAGAAAAATTAAAGTGAGAACAATATTTGGATAAGAAAAAGTTCAAAATATATTTATTACATAAAATAAATAAATAGAAAGAGAAATAAAAGTTATACACGAAAGAAAATTGAACGAAAAAACATTTAGATATAAAAAAATTGAAGATATATTTCTTAGAGAAAAAACAGACTAGAAAGAGGAAGAAAAATTATATAATAACATTAGAAAAATATTAAATTTTTAGAGAGAAAAAAAAATAAAGCAATACGTTAGAAAAAAAGAAATAAATATAAATATATACCAATGAAAATTTTGAAGAGAGATAAATGTTTGAGAGATGAAAATTTTAGAGAGAGAAATATATTTTTTTAGAGAGAGAAATCTAGGTAGAAAATCATTTTAGAGCGAGAAAAAAATTATTAAAGACAAATATGTGGAAGGGAAAAGAAGAGATTTTGAAAAAAAAAACATGTTTTTGAAAACTACTTTTTTTTGTTATTTTTTAAATTGACAAAAGATTTCAAAAACTATTTTAAAAATAAAAAACCAAAAAGTTGAATTCTAACGGGCTTGTTTTTTAAAAACTAAAATAAAAAACCAAAAACAGAAAATGAGATGGTTATCAAACTGACCCTTAAAATTTAAACTAGATCTAATTTTTATGGTAGTATCTTGGATTTTAGTAAAGCATCTACTTGTTCCATAATTGCTCTCTGTAACCTAATAGTAGCGAGTCATCGATTTCCAACTCAACAATCACTCACAAGTCATTTTCCCTTCACCAACCTCTCATTCATTCTGCTTTGATATGTACAACAACAACTTAGGTGAAAATTCATTTTCTGCTTATGACATCTAGAATTGAGTTTTAAGTCTCTACGTAACAATCTCCATCATCGAGTCGTTGTTTTATGCTTCTTCATTAATATTTATGGGGAAGATATCATTCGATTTAATTTTTTAACGACTGATTTAATTTAAATTTTGAATGCTTAATTAGTTAAACTAATTTACTTTAAGATTTTTGTTGATGCAGAAATTTGGCCTTCTGAGATTTTGCCAAATTCGCACCAATCTTTTAGAATAAAGGGATCGACGAGACCTGCAAAACATAATAACACTAAGACCGGTGTGACTCTTGCCACACAGGCTCCGATGCTTAAGTTAGGATCGAAGTAGTTGAGTATAAAGTGTAGAATATTGTGAGCATACCTTTTGGGGTTTAACTTACTCTTCTATTTATAGAGGTCGAATCCTAATCCCTTCAGGATTTACATCAGTTGAATCTTATTCCATTTAGAATTTACATAAGTTGAATCTTAATGCACTAAGGAGATCTAGACGGTGTGGGCCTCATGCTGCATTTAGGGCCGAGACCAAGTCAACTTAGATCGGGCTGTGCGAGGGTCGGGGAGAATCGATGAAGTTCTCGGCGCTGAGAAAGTCTCGACGCCAAGGTCTGGTCAGCTATGGCCGGCTTGGGCTATTGGGCCCCAACCTACTTACCTTGCTTCGGGTCAGCTCCTTATTTGGCTGTTTAGTCCGATCTCTATTTTCTTCCTATAACAATAGCCCTCACTCTCAAAATAGAAGGCAGAAAACATATTAGGGCTTCTATATTGAGAGTATCGATGTCAGACATTGTCTTAATAGGCTGACTGTCCTAGCCCCCATTCTCTTTTGTTGTAGTTAGCTATCATCAAGTCTCTTAGGCACTGTTATACGGTTAGTTTTTACCGTTAGATTTTGTCCTTTGGGATTTAACTTTTCAGCAGGGCCAATGGTACTTCTTTGGGTTTCTAACCTATTTGGTTTTTTACCCCAAAATTTGCCGGTTCTATACCCCAGGATTCACTCTAGGGTTTCTAACCTATTTGGCTTTTGCCAATGGTTTTATACCCTGAGTCTAGTCGGCCTTGGGTTTTTAACCTTTGGCTTTTGCCGGTTTTTACCCTAAGTTAATCAACACCCCTAGATTTTTAACCTATTTTGGCTTTTACCAAATGGTTTTCTACCCCTGAGTTTCATTGATTGGTTAGATGTTGGTACGGTTTAGAACTCTTTATGTAAGTGTACACAACCGTTGTAGCAAGTGATAAAAAGATCGTATCCACAGGGATTGATAACTAAGCACTTCAACAATTACTTAAGAAAATAAACAAATTAACAAAATATGTTTTGAACAAGAAAAACTAAAGGAACTCAAACAAAATAGTGCATAGATGATTTGCTGAGTAAAAACAAGTAAAAACCAAGCAGAACCAAACTAATTAAAGGAAAGTGTGCAAATAAGAGATTAAATACTAACGTTTAAAAGAGTAAGGGGGAAGGGTTTATGTGACTTTTTATGGGCCTACGCAAACAATGCTACAGTACTGACGATGTAATATACTGGCCAAACAGACACGGAATCTTCTCAGATTTTCCTGATTTTCTGCTATTCATGTTTTTAGACAAACCTGATAGCATATATACTCAGTTTATAACCTTGCTAGGTGAGCCTTATTCCTAAGTACCCACACTCTAACTAAAGTAGAATCTAGCACGAGTTGAAGTCAAACACTTCCTATTACAATTTTCCAAGAGTTAATAAGAAGATATTCCAATATATTGGCCAAACACATTGAAAATAAACGTTAAGAACAACTTCAACTCAGTATATATATATATCATCATCAAGTCAAAGCAAAGTTTACAGCTCAAGAACAAGTTCACAACATCTTCTCCCTTACAAATATACTTAGCTACGCAATGTCGTACAAGAAAAGGGAAGAATAAAAATACAAAACCCTTGTACTAAAGAGTACAAAAGAAGAAGAAAAGGAGGAAAAACAACCGCCCTGCACTCCCTTTGTTGTTTTCGTCGTGTTCCTCTCCAAGTGTCTTCCCTCTTCTCTTGTCTTGTTATCTCTCGGGTTTGATGAAGAATTAGAATATGAATGGGGGCAACCTTAAAATGAAAGCATTTATACCCCTTCTAAATTTTAGGGTAACCAAAATGGATAAAACGGGGCCCAGCCCAATTTAATGGTTAATCTATGTTTTACTGCAGTAAATTTTCGAGTAAAAATCTGTCACTGTCAGCTCTGTTTTTTCTTCATTTTTGATTCCGATGCTGCAGCATCAATAATGTTGCATCAAAACATTCAAAATTAGGTCATTCTTCGTAACTCTCAATATCATTTGCAAATACAGGGATGCTAGTGAATTTGAAACATTATTTGCACAATCAGTGTAGATTGGGTGTTGGTGATGCTATCCTTAGCTAATTTATATGAAATAGTTGCACAAATAACTCTCTTTTGGAGAGTTATCATTAGACTTGCCTGCTTTTGTTTTAACCTTACTGGACCTGTACACGTGCCTTTCAGCACCAATCTGGTTTCACTGACTGACTTCTAGCTTATCGGCCTGCTTCTGGATTTGTCCCAGTTTGAGTCCTTGATCGGCTGTTGATTTACTTACTCATGCCCGGGATTTATATTTAGAATAAAAATAAGTGCTCAAGTAAAAGTCAATCAATAAAAAGTACCTATGATTTTATTGAAAAGGAAACAAATAAATAAAACCTACCTTATTTCAACGCAATATGCAATCATCATACAGGGAAAAAGTAAAAATAATCTATCCTATCAAACATGCAATGATATGGTCCTATCTAAGGTAAAAAGCGAAATATAAAAAATTTAATATGATCCTGAAGCGTGAGTCTCATCAGTTTCCTTAGTTGCATCTCAGTGAAGTATAGTAACACTCTCGTGATACTCGTTGCATTCCTTTGACTTCACCTATTCCTGCTTGATTCCCCTCCCGTAGGTCCTCCTAATATCGTTTTTATCTCTTTGATGGGTGACTTGTCGTCTCGATCTCTGTCTAGAGTTGTCCTGGATTCTTCCACGTACTCTTTGAGGTAACCTCTTCGAATGAGGTCCTCTATTTCTTCTTTGAGGTCGAAACAATCCTGTGTCGTGTGACAATGATCTCTATAGAACAAACAATACCTTCCTTTGCTCCTTTTGTTGGAGGATGCTTTCATCATGTCAGACCATTTGAGTAGTGTCTAGTGTTTTATTTCCATCAAGACCTGCTCTAGTGGGACCGTTGTTGGAGTGTATTTTTCAAATTTCCGCTGAGGATCCCGTTGGACTAGTCGACCCTGTCCGCTATCTGATCTCTCCCACCTCAATCCGTGTCGCTTTTCTCCAGGCCTCTTTCTCTTTGTGTTATAATCTGCATATTTTCCTTTAGGGTCACGCTTCGAGTGAATTAATTCTCCGACACTCATGTACGTCTGGGCTCGGCTTCGAGCTTCTGAGAAAGTGCCTGAAGTTCTCTTCCCAAAAGAGAACACCAATTGCTCGTCCTTCACACCAGATATAAAGACAAGCAGTACCACTGCATCTGTCAGACCTTCCACTTGTAGCTTCTCTTTATTGAACCGAGCCACATAGTCTTTGAGGCTCTCTGTCGCTTTTTGCTTAATAGTTAGTAGGTATGCTACAGGCCTGCTTCTATTCCATCCTCCGGCGAATTGGGTGACAAATGCCCTTGCCAATTCCTTGAAGCTTGAGATCGATTTCCTTTTCAATTGCTGAAACCATATGCGTGTGGAACCAGTCAGAGTGAAAGAGAACACTCTGCATCTAATGGCTTCTGTTATGCCATAAATATCTGTCCATTCATGGTACACATCGAGGTGATCGATGGGATCTGTCGAACCGTCGTACTTTTTGATAGCGGGTAGCTTGAACTTCGGAGGAACTTTTTCTTTCATTATTTTCTCCTTAAAGGAAGAGTCTGCTTGGTCTATCAGTTCCTCAAGATCAAACTTCTTATCTTTGTGTCATCCTGACTGTATTTCTAATAGCTTGGTTCGACCGGGTGGTCTTCTTTTGTCAACAGTAGTATGCCCGAGGCCGACTCGGTCAACTGGATAGCTTTTGCTTTCGTTGGGCACGACAGACTTCTGTTGTTGTACAGCTGCTTACTGACCTAACCGGCCAAAGATGCTGGTTCAAGATCCATTGTTTCCTCTTATCTTCACTTTTCTCCGTGCATGGTTGGTTGACTCCCCAACTCCTTCAATCATTAGAGCTTTACCCTTCCGTGGATCGCGAACAAGTAGTGACTGTTCCACTTCATGTTGCTCGAGTTTTTGTAGAAGCAGGGATATGTTTCGGTGCATTCTCTCGACCTTCTCCTCTAGGACGACCAACTTATCGCCCTATTGATCCAAACTTTGATCGGTTTATTTTTCTGTTCGAGAATTGGTCGGTCGGTCTCTCCTTCGGCTGTCTCAGGCAGAGGTGTACCCGTATTAACTTTTCTCCTATGGTGGCACTCTTCATCAGAATGTTGTGAACTCCTTCCCAAACCATGTCGATAAGTCTGCAATCTCTAGTCGTCCCCACAGACGACATCAATTGAGATTCTCCAAATTGTTGATGCAGAAATTTGGCCTTCTAGGATTCTTCAAATTCGCACCAATCTTCTAGAATAATGGGATCAACGAAATCTGCAAAATAAAATAGCACTTAGACTGGTGTGACTTTTATCACACAGACTCCGATGCTTAAGTTAGGATCAGAGTAGTTGGGTATAAAGTGTAGGCATTGTGAGAATACCTTTAAGGTTTAGCTTACTCTCCAATTTATAGAGGTCGAGTCCTAATCCCTTCAGGATTTACATCAGTTGAATCATATTCATTTTAAGATTTATATAAGTTGCATCCTAATGCACTCAGGAGATCTAGACGGAGTGGGCCTCTCATGCTGCATTTAGGGCCGAGACCAAGTCAACTCGGATCGGGCTGTGCGAGGGTCAGGGAGAATTGATGAAGTTTTCGACCATTGGGCTGAGGATATTTTAATGGTTGGCTATGCTACCAATTAGCATGGTCTGTCTCGATTTGCTAGGACTTTTTTTTTTTAAAATTTAATCAGACGTGGCTCAATGTTTGGAGGCGAGACGACCAACTATTTTCCATGTATTATTCTTAAAAATAGTTTGGTGGAGAGCATATGTTTGGAAATAGTTTAAAGAAAAACAATATTAATAAAAATCCATTTTTTTCTTCAGATTCACTGATCGATTAGAACGCCGGTCGGTTTCAGTTTCAATTGATGTTCTTCTTTTTTTTTTTTTTTTTTTTTTACCTTTTTTCGAAACACAAGAAATATGACCATGAAAGGAAATTCTAAAACGTTGGGTGAGAGCGAAGAAAGCAAGCAACATACCTGAAAACATAAATAGAGAATCAAAAAAATTTGTTTTTACAAGAGAAAAGTATTCCCTTTCATTTTTCATTGTTTCTAAATGAATACAAGGAGCCTTATATATGTGCGGCTACTACTAGTATAACACAAACTACCTCAAAATAGTTAGAACAAACTCAACAAGAATACTACTAGTATAACAAAAACTAAATAATTTACCTAAAATGAGTTACAACAAACTCAACAAGAATAAACAAAAATACAACCAATGGAAGTGGGATCTCGAACATTTAGCTTGAACTTGAGGCGATTAAAATTGATAGCTAATAGAGGTTTAGTAAGAATATAAGCAATCTGATCTGTAGTCGGAAGATGATAGACCAATAACTTCTTGTTGAGGACAAGATCACGAACAAAATATATATCAAGCTCCATATGTTTAGTCTTAGAATGGAGGACCGGATTAGCACTAAGATGAACCGCACTCAAATTATCACACCATAAAATAGGTGGCTGAGGAAGAGCAATATGTAAATCAGAAAACAGTGAAGAAAGCCAAATAAGCTCAGTATCAGCGGTCGCTAAACAGCAATACACGGCTTCTGTACTGGACACAAGTGATGAGATTACCACCAAAAAAGACACAAAAACCCGAGGTAGATTTCCGATCATCCGGGTCAGACGCCCAATCCGCGTCAGCATACCCATAAAGAGAAATAATACGTGGTTTAGATAGGAGAAGCTATGATCAATAATACCTTTAAGATACCGTAATATATGTTTAACCAACTGCCAATGAACCAAGGTTGGAGCATGCATGAATTGACAAACCTTATTCACACTAAAAGAAATTTCTGGCCGAGTGAGAGTGGCATACTGCAAAGCACCAACGATGCTCCTATATTTATGAACATCAGGAAATTTCTTACCATGTCGAGCAGAAACCCCATAACCACTAACCATAGGTGTAGTAATAGAATTAGCGGATGCCATTTGAGCTTTATGAAGAATATCTGATATATATTTAGACTGGGAGAGAAATAATCCACCATGAGGAGCATAAGAAACCTCAACCCCAAGAAAATAGCTCAAAGGACCAAGATCCTTGAGTGAAAACTGAGCATTAAGTTGGGAAATGAGTTGAGTAATCATACTGGAAGAACTCCCAGTTATCAACATATATCAACATATATCAACATATAACAACAACCATCAGTAGAATGACGGAAGAATAGTGAAGAATCTGCTCTAGAATTACAAAACCCAACGACTGAAGAAAAAGATTGAGACGTTCAAACCATGCACGAGGAGCCTGTTTTAGACCATAAAGAGCCTTCTGTAAACGACAAACCAAAGGGTGAGAGCCAGAAACTTGAAACCCAGGTGGTTGCTCCATATAAACGGTTTCAGCAAGGAAACCATGAAGAAAGGCGTTATTGATATCCACTTGTCGAATGGACCAACCATGAGCTAGAGCCAAAGTCAACAAAACTCAAACAGCGACTGGTTTGACAATAGGAGTAAATGTCTCAGAGTAATTAAGATCAGCGGATTGATGAAAACCCTTGGCTACCAAGGGAGCTTTATATCGAGAAATGGTTCCGTCAGAATTTATCTTGATTTTGAACACCCATTTACAACCGAAAATTTTCTTGTCAGACGGTTGAGGAACAACATCCCATGTGTGAGTACGAAGAAGAGCCTCATGTTCCTCTAACATTTCTTTACGCCAATGAGCATGCTTTAGTGCTTCCTTCACATTTGGAGGTTCAATATCATAATAGTCCAAAAGAAAGGCCTTAGGTTTAAAGATATCAGCCTTGCTTCTAGTTATCATTGAATGAGAATTTTGAACACAACCAGATGGAAGAGGAACAGAGGAAGAAGGATCTGAAATACCATCGGAGGAAGAAGAGCATGTGCCTGGACTAGTGGATGTCGAGGTATGAGCAGACCCACCAGTGGGTAAATTCCCATGCGGAGTTGATAGGGAGGTAGAGGCAAAATCATGAGAAACAACTGTCGGTGTTGATACAAACTATGCTGGTACCACATGTGCAAACATTGAAGTATGAGCATGCAAATGGGTATTAAAATGCACATCAGTAGACAAAAGTCCATTAGTAGAAGCAAAAATATCAGAGGGAGGTATAGCAGTGATAGGTGCAAGAGGGGCAAGTACAATAGGAGGACAAGGATTGGGTAAATGGGACAACGACGGAGACATAAAAGGTAAAGTTTGAACTATAGCACCTGCATTCTTGGAAGTGGACGGGGAGGTATGACCTTCAAAAGGAAACAAGGTTTCATAAAAAATAACATGGCGTGACACAAAAACTTTCCAGTGGAGGACAAACATTTATATCCCTTGTGTATGCTACTATAGCCAAGAAAGGTGCACTGTTGTGAATGAAAATCAAGTTTATGAGTGTTATAAGAGCACAAACAAGGAAAACAACTACACTAAAAAACTTTCAAGGAAGAATAATCGGGTTGTTGGCGAAAAAGCTTTTCCATAGGACTCATACCATCAAGAACTGTAGAGGGCAATCGGTTGATAAGATGAACAGCTGTGGAGAAAGCATCATCCCAGAAGGGGAGAGGCATAGAGGCTTGAGAGAGTAAAGTAAGACCGGTATCCACAATGTGGCGATGTTTTCGCTGAACAACACCATTTTGTTGAGAGGTATAATGCCTTGAGATTGAAGATAGGGTGTAAACGTTAAATTCACCACCACCATCGGACTGGAAGCAAAGTATGGACAGCCCAAGAAGTTTTTCAATCATGGTTTTAAAGGTAATAAAAGTGCGAAAAGCATCAGACTTAGATTGAAGAAAATAAATCCAATTATAACGGGAGAACATATCAACAAAGCTAATGTAATAACGAAAACCATTACGAGAGGATTTATAAGCAAGACTCCATAAATCATCAACAATTAATTGTAATGGTGCAGTATAAGTTGTAAGTGAAGGACTAAAAGGAAAAGCATGAGATTTTCCCACAGCACAAGCATTGTAGAATTTTAAACTTAAATTAGATGGCAAAGATGGTTTATAAAGTCTCAAAATTTTATTAACAACGAGGAAGGCAGGATGTCCAAGTCTCCTATGCCACAAATCATAGGAGCAACAGAAGAATTAGAAGGAACAAGAGAACTAGTAGTTGTTAAAGCTTGAGAAGGACTGCGAGCACAAGACAAATCGGAGGAGGTGGAAAGATTGAACCTGTACAACCCGTCATGTAGAGTTCCTTGAAGAAGCACCTTGCCAGTGATTGAATCCTTCACATAACAACAAAGAGGGTGAAATTCAAAAAAGATAAGAGTTATCTCTAGCAAATTGACTCACACTAATCAAGTTTTTGGTTATTTGAGGAACATGAAGGAGATTGTTTAAGTGAAGAACATGATTTGAGGGTGTGATAAACGAAGAGTGACCAGAATGAGAGATTGGCAAACCTGCACCATTACCGACTTGAACCTGGTTAGCTCCATGATATTCTGTGCCTACAGACAGATTATTGAAGTTGTTTGTAAGATGGTTGGTTGCACCAGAATCCGGGTACCAATTACTGTCTCGATTGATATATGGGGCAGTGAGTAAAGCAGACATTTGAGGATGTCCATGACTGAAGGTGGAAGCCGGAGGTGTTGAACTGAAGAAGTTAGCACCATTGTTGGGACCTTGAAAGCGTGGATCAAACCGAGGGTAACATTTTAGAGGTTGTGACCAAACTTGCCACAAAGTTGGCACTGTATTTTTCTATTGTTCCAGAACTTTCCTCCACGACCATTGCGACCCTCAATTATTAGTGCCTGAACTAGATTGATATGCATGTGGATGGTGCTGAATTTCATTTTCTTTTCCAGAGTGGATAGTATGTATAGCAACATGTGCTGAAGGGGAAGAACCATCAGAGTTCACCAATTGTAACTTGCTCTCATTCCTATTTTCTTGTGTAAGAAGTAGAGCCATCACTTCTTGAACAGATTGTGGACCAGACTTAGCTGAAATTACCGAAACCATAGCCTCAAATTCAGATCCAAGACCAGACAAAATATACACAATGTGATCTTCACAGGAGAAACTTGTTTGCCGACTGAAGCAAGAGCATCAACACACTTTTTAATTTGAAAAAAATGTTCCTTTAGAGAAGAACCACCCTTTTTTAAATTATGCAATTTTGACTTAATTCTCATTACCCAAGCAAGATTGTGAGAGGTGTAAATTTGAAGCAAACAACTCCATATATCTCTTGTTGATTGGCAATGTAACATATGTTCTAAAATGTCCTCAATCATGGATCCAAGCAACCACGAGAAAATCAACTTATCCTGTTTCTTCTATTTGATAAAATAAGGATTAGGCTTTGCTGTAATTGAAGAATCATTACTAACCTCGAGAAATTGAGAAGGAGGTTTAGGCGAGTTATCAATGTGTGATTCAAGACCATAACCTTCGAGTGCCGTTAGGACTTGAAATTTCCAATGGAGGAAATTATCATCATTCAAGTTCACTGTATAAATTTTGTTTTCTAGATTAATAGCCTGATTCGTTTGACTTCCAACATTCTCAGATAAATCCATCGTGATTATGAACCAAAACAAAAATCAAGACTAAAGAAGAGAAGAGAAGATAATCTCCTTAGATTTAGGGAAATTTGTAAAGATCGAAGTCTTGCGACGAAGCTCTGATACCCTGAAAACATAAATGGAGAATCAGAAAAATTTGTTTTTACAAGAGAAAAGTATTCCCTTTCATTTTTCTTTCTTTCTAAATGAATACAAAGGAGCATTATATATGTGCGGCTACTACTAGTATAACAAAAACTACCTAAAAATAGTTACAACAAACCCAACAAGAATACTACTAGTATAACAAAAACTCAATAATTTACCTCAAATGAGTTACAACAAACTCAACAAGAATAAACAACAAAACAACCATATAGATGGGGAGTATATTAATGAGCTATCTAAACAATACCAAGAACTAAGAAGAAATGATTGAGAAATCTCAGATTGAGAGGGAGATAGACCAATAAGATAAAGCATACCTAAGGGGCTGAAAAAGAAGAGATCTCATATTTGAGAGAGAGACATGCATGAAGAAGAATGTGAGAGAAGGGCATACGTAGGGGAAAGTAAAAAACGGAGACAAAGGTGTTGTGTTAAAATACGGAGGAAGGAGGGTCGACATTGAGAGCCAAAGAGAGGGGTGGGTGTCATCACCGAGGTTGAGAGTCCGAGCGTGAAAGAGAGGTGGGTACGTTGAGGGTTGAAGTGAGGGAGGAGGGGTGGGTGTGTGCGGCGCAAAACAAAAAGAGACCCTAATATTATAGGGAATAATTTTAAGTTTCCGTGACGCATAAATTCGTCGTCGTAGCTACAGATTTCATCTGCAAAATGGTTACTCGACGAAAAAATTTACTCACAACAATTGTCGGCAAATTCCCATCGGGTAGGTCTTTACTGCGAAATTGTTTTTGTCACAGAATACATCTATTCCGAAGAAAATTGAGGCGTCACAAAGGATATCTATGGTGACGAAACGTACATTTCTCCCAAAAATAAATATTTGTTGAATAAAATTATTTTTGTTAAAAATGAAAGAATCACAATTTTTCATGAACTGAAGTGTCTTTTGTAAAGGTTATGTCCTTTTATCAAAAGACATAACCTTACATAAAAAGATATAAATACGTGGTTATTCTCAGTTTTGATATACAGAAAAATCATCCCTCAAAATTCTATCTTTTCCTCTGTATGAGTACTTAAATACTGTGAGTAGGAAACAACGTTACGTTGAGTTTGGATTTTTAATTTTATGTTTCCTTAAGTTTTCTATGCATATTTCTCCAACATTTTGCATCCACATGAGTTTTCATTAGTTTCATATTTTTTTTGCGCTCCTAAAAGTTATTTTTTTATTTATCCATTTGTTTTAGCTTTATGTTTTATGATATTTTATTAGGGGAATTGCTAAAAGTAGGACAACTCTAATAGGGTTAAAGAGATTGAGGATGATCTTTTCATTTGAAGAATTGTAGGATTTTTTAAAGGTGAAAAGTCGTAAATACCCCTCTTCTCATTTCCCCCAATTTTCCCCACATGAAACCCTCGATTTTGAAACTCCCTCTCACACAAAAAAGAACCCTCTCTCACACACCAATCTTCCATTTCTTCCGGCGACCAAGCTTCCATTTTTTCCGAGGATTGAGGCGACGACGACGAACTCCAATAAGTTTGCTTCCATTTTTTCCGACGACCAAACTTCCATTTCTTCCGGCAACCAAGCTTTCTCTTTCTTGGTTCTTCGTTTTAATTTTTTCATTCTTCTAAGCATTCTTATCTTCTTAAATTTTATTTTATTCTTCGTAGCTTGAATTTTTTGGTTGATTGTTTGATTTTGGTATTGGAAGATATTACAATATATTGCAAGAAAAAAAATTAAATGTAAAATAGTCATCTCTCCTGTATATTCTTGTTTTACTTTTACCAATTTGTTTTATTGTATTTTATGTTCTTGCTTGAATTTTGACATTGCAATATGTTGCAAGGAAAAAAAAAAACAGAAGGTAAAATGGTCATATTTGTTGGGTATTCTCTTGTTTTCCAATTTGCTTTATTGGAAGATATTTAGAAAATATTTATAATATTGAATCAATTGACACTTGTATTTTATCTTCTTCCTTGAATTTTGGTATTGCAATATATTGCAACAAACAAAAACAAAATGTAAAATGATCATCTCTCTTGAGT